CAACGACGCACTGAGTCACACTTCGAATGGCACTATTGCAACACCTACCACTGAAAAACAATAAGTACATACGGTTGTTACGCATTTCACTATATAATATAAAAAATAAAAAAACCTGGTTCTGCCCCACGGCTTCATCATTAGTCGATTTATGTCATCGATGTTTTCTCTTCTATGACAGATAAATATCAGTTTGTCATCGTACATACAAATGACAAAAAAGAGAAATATCCGCAATGCTCTAGATTAAGAAAGAACAAGACAAATGTGACGAGAAGGGTGTATATGTGTGTAGTTCTGTGGACAAGTAATCATCGTAGGTAATGCTAACATGTGAGAAATACGAAATGAAAGTAATGGCAGTGTCTGTGCGTGTTGTTAGCAATGCAAATAACGGAGAGAGAATAACAACAACAACAATAAGTAGCAGCAGCGATGAAAAAGAAAGGAAGGATTCTCGTTTCTCTCGTTTTCTCTCTGTCGCACTTTATCAGACGTGGGAGGAAACTGGTCTACATCAAGCATTTATAAATCATCATCGTACAGAACAGTTCCGATATACAGCAAGGTCGAAACCGATCCACTTGTATCGTAGAACAGCAAAGAAAGTCAATCTGAACAGAAGGTATATACTTGAAATAACGATTGAATTATGTTAAGAGGACAGGCATGATCTGTCAATCAAACATGTGCGCATGTGCTGAGAATAGCAAGAAATCGGTAAAAATTTCATTTTTTTTTGCATCTTATACTCGTTATCGCCCCTTCGAAAAACTAAACCTATATTGGAGAAGAATTTTATCTTACTCATGATTGTTTAGTATTAATAATCGAGTAGACTATTTTGAAGATGACAAAAGCTAGCTCGGAAGTGTTATCGTGTGGCAATACATCCTCACAGTGCATCGTGTGGGAGAGAAGAAGAGATCTATGTCAGGTAGGAACTCTGATAAGGAAAACGATTAGTAACTTTGCCGCATGGTCACTTTTTTTCTTTCGGTGAATAATACCTAAGCCTTGTATCAATTTGTATGTAGGCTTGTAAAATCACTTTATCTATGAACTTGATCGGACAGTAGTATGCGTATCTGTGCGACCATGAATCGTGTTTTTCTCTATTCTTTTTTTTTGAGTGACTTCGTATTTCATTCATTCAAGGCTAAGGTTACGTTTGATCTTCGTTTTTCTCTTGTATGTTATCTATCCTTAGACAGAACGATATATAGATAAATACTTCGAGACTGATCAACATAATTTAGTTTTAATTCAACGACATCGTCATCATGCCGTCGTATACAATGCTCAATATTAGGATGCAACGAGAAACGAACAGTACACCATGGGGATTTCGAATGCAAGGTAAGATTTGCTTTGCGAGGAAAATAGCGGTATATTTATCGATGAAAAAATTTGAATAGGTGGAAAAGATTTCGGTTGTCCGTTACAAATTCAAAAGATCAATCCCGACAGTTTAGCTGAACGTTGTGGAATGCAACCGAATGATTACATTGTGAAAATTGGTCAGACTTCTACCGAAGAACTTAAACATCCAGATGCACAAGAATTAATCAAAAATCAAAATAATACGCTTGAATTAACTCTACAACGGTTAGTGGCAGAAAAAATGCTAATTGATATTTTGTAATTGAATATATAGAGGTGCTCCACCCGACAGTAACGACTACAACAGTCATGTGGATTTTCCGCCTCATCAACTCATGCAATCAACATCCAATAATCCTCCATTAAAATCTCAGTATCAACCACGGACACCGAATCCAACACCACAGGTAGATATCTTCGATCATCGAGTACAATGGACTATGGCTAGATGCTGAGATGTTGATGGATTTCTATATTAAGTGAAAAGAAATTGATGTGATTTGCCATACAAGATAGATTGAAGAATATCTAGCCTCGTAATCGTGCCAAACATAATCTCAGAAGACTTTCTGTTTATATTATCTAATCAAGTAATAGGAATAGGAAAGACGTGTACCAGAAGACGAGTGCAGTAGACAAGACGCAGGAGTTACAGAGAACGCGATATATCATATATCTATTTTAATGTTTGTGTATATATATATATATATATATGCATATTAGTTTGTACTCTTATCAAAACTGAGAGAAACCTTGTACTTCACGAATGATTTCTATACCAGCTGGTCTGAAACATGGTAAACTATTTAAATCTTGTAATGACGAAACTAGGTTGCAATGCCAATCTCGAACAATCGTGCCATCTTAAGCCAATCTCATAATACACCAATTGGACTATACTCAGCTGAAAATGTAACTGATACAATTACGCATACGCTTCGGAGGTAACGTTAAAAAACACTTGTTTGATGCATGGAAATTCTGCATGTACATTAGTATGCATGTGGCTGTAGTTCTCCAGTTCCTTTGCCTCAGAATAATAATCGTAAAACGTCGAATACGCTCATGTCTAGCGATGTCGAAGATCTGCAACAAAAATATTTAAGTATGGATTTACAAACAAACAAAAACGAATCAAGGCAAGGACCTGCATTTCGAGCACTTGTGCGAGGACTTAATGAAGCAGATGGTAAGCATTGATGGATATTTTTGTCTTTATATCGTATGATGATTATCTAAAGATACACCCGATGCGTCATCAACAAAATCAAAGTAAAAATGTCAATTTCAAATGAAAATGATTTCTTTATTTCCTTATTATTAGTGCGAATCATCAACAGATAACTAGTACATCAACAATCAAAGGTTTTCGCTATACGTCTAATCCGTAAGTACCAGCAACGATCGAAGTCTCTTTTTCCCAAACGTTAATAATCGATGATCAATATTTCTTTTAGTATAATGACTCATACAAAATCATAAAGAGAATTATTTTGAATGAGAGAAAGTTTGATGTTTGTGTTGACTATGGAAACACATACGGATATCATAATCAGGCATGTGAATGATCGTTGTCTGCATACGTTTGCATCACTTTTACATATAACACACATCTTGTGTATATTAGGATGATTATATATCTGTTCGTTTTTCCATAGTATGAATATGGCACCGGAATATAAAGTCGAAGCACCAAAAAAGTAAGACAACAACATGTTTTCCTTCGCTATAATTACATAATCTTTACTACAACGTAGCTACAATGAGTTTAAGACAACAGCTGCTCGATCGATGCCCAAACCAACATCGGCATCTTCTCCTTACGATTACTCACAAAAGCAACAATCACGTCCAGCACCATACATGGTATCCCCAGCTCCACCACAGCCACCGCCCACGCAGCCAAAACTGAGTGGTAAAATATCACCTACGAACGATACATAGTGTATTTGATTCCTTCTAGCGGCTGAAAAACCCTCATTCAATATAAATGTGCAAGGCACACCAGGTTCAACGAATCGTGTCTTTTTGAAAGGTAACAAAGGTAGTGCATCGTTGAATCAAAATGATAATAGCACTCAGACACCCGTCTGTCATGCGTGTGGAACAACGATCAGGTAATTGATTCGGAAATGATTGTCTTAATCATGTCTCGTGAATTAATATAGAGGGCCGTATATCGCAGCTATTGGTCATTGTTATTGTGTAAATCATTTTACTTGTTCCAATTGTTCAACAAACCTCATTGATTGTGGCTTTGTCGAAGAGAATGGAAAATTGTATTGTGAACGTGATTTTGAACAGTTTCTTGCACCTCGTTGTGCGAAATGCTCCCAATCGATATTGAAAGTAAGGAGGCAACACTCAACAGAATAGTTTTTGTATAAAAACCAACATTCGCTAGGAATGTGTTCATGCACTTGAAAAAACTTGGCATCCCGAATGCTTTACATGTACAGCATGTAAAAAATCGATTGGTACGGGTTCCTTTCATGTTGAAGATGGCGATCCTTACTGTCTCGAAGGTAAAACTTGTTTTTTTTTCTCATCTGAATACCGCTCTCTGGTGTTTTAGATTATCGCCGCATGTTTCAAGCGAAATGTACCAGTTGCGATTTTCCTATTGAACCTGGTGACAAATATCTCGAAGCACTAGGTGGCACATATCATGTCGAATGTTTTACTTGTTCGGTGAGGTTGTCGGATATCTCATTCGAAATACCATATATCATTTTTATGCTTCAGATGTGTCAAGTGAGTCTTAATGGTCAACCATTCATTGTTAAAAACGATCGACCTTATTGCCGTTTACATGGGCGTTAATTTTGCTCCTCAAGTTAACTCTAGTGAACAGTAATACACCCTTGCATCAAACAGATACATGTTTATTTCCTTGTCACATACGAAAAACTGCCTAAACATTGAAAAGAAAAACAATCGTGCTCATGCCTATACAAATAAATATGACGTTTTCTTTATTCGTACGAATCCTTTTCTATTTTCGATGACGACAACAAGTTTAGTCGGTTGAATGTGTTAAACGCAGATGAAATCAATGAAAATAATAAAATTTGTCGAGTGCCGAAAGAACACGCTAGTGAAAAATTATTTTCAATGAAGTTGTTTATTGCATCGCACTGCAAAATTAACAACTTCATCCAGAATTAAGTGAATCAACAAGAAAGAGAAAAAAATAATTCAATTTGTTTTTCCTACCGTTTGTGACCTTGATAAAGAACCCAGAATCATCTTAATCGATAAGAATCAATAAACGTATCATCAACAGATACCAAGTCGGACTATGGAACAAATGATACAGATGAAATATACATGATCGTCTGTGTCATTTCCATTCATTTTCTCTTTTTCGTCGTATTTCGTTTTGTGTTGATATATTAATTCTTTTCTAAGTGCTCAAACACACTTTTTCTTATGTACTTCGCATATTGTACGTTTTCTCCATCAGCAACACAAACGTTTTCTATTGTTTTTTGTCATTGAAAAACAAACACAACGATGAAAAAAAAGCAAACGAAAAGAGAAAAAGACTTCCAATACCTATTCACAAACATTTGTCAGATTGAAATGTCTTTCGTCGACGGTTAACATCAACCCGAATGTTTCTCAGACAATCACATTTAGCTATGCCACCACCATCTGTTTGGCTTCATGTCGATGGTGTTAGTTTGCCATCAGATGGTCACCCATTTCAGCCATCTGTTCGTTCATATGATTATCAAACAAAGCATTTGCAAAGTCCAATCCAATCTCCAACACCGACATTGGCTTCACCAGCAGCGAACGCCTCTTATAGTATAACAATGATCGATACACCATTCAATCATCACAATTCCAATAAACCGCAATCAATTCTCGAAAATGTCGATGCGCCCAAGAAAATGTTCAAAGACAGACAAATAAAAAAGGTCAAATCGTTGCCAGGATTGATCAAGTAAGAAAAGTAAAAAAAGGAAAGGACGAGACTTTTATTATTATTATTATTTGCTATTGACAACACCGTCTCAAATACAATTGTTTACTTTTAGAGGTACAGCGTTATCTCGAAATACACCTTCTCAAACATCAACATTCACAAGTCCTGCTCCATCAGCTATATCAGTGAACACTCTTCAAGATGATCAACTTCCAATGGTAACGATTGAACACAGCGATGATGGCCTTCCTATGGCCCAAGTCATAGAACCTCAAAATGAAATTCGTCGTCCACGAGTCTATTTCGCTGATTATAATCGTATTCAGTTCATCGAAGAAAATAATGAACTATCTCAACAACATCAAATACCTATCAATGATGAACCACGGCATTCGCGAGTTCGTCTATCAAGAAAAATCTCCAATCATACAACACCATCCATTCAACGCGCGACAACACGTCAAAACTTTACTTGTCCAACATCTCGTCATCCTTGCCATCAAACAGGACATGAATCAACGGCCAAAAAAGAACATCTACCTACTACAACACGTATACAACATTCCCATATCGCAAACTTACCTGACATTATCAGTCAAACGTTACCCAATGAGAACTCATCACATGAAAAATATGGTTTACAACGTGAAAAATCTGTTCATCGTTCGTCGAAACCATCTATGACCGTAACTAATAGTTTAGCATTTGAAATATCTCCTCAAGCCAATCGCACGAGTAATGGTCGCTCATCACCAAATACGGATTCATCTCACGAAAGTCATAAATCTGACTCAGGTGATAGTGAAAATGGACAGTTACATGTTGGAAACGGTTCTGTATCCTCAACAGCAACAACGAATCGACAACGTCCCGCACTTCGAACAATCTCACTACGACAGCAATTTACTTCATCAACCAAATCAAAGTCAACGGAAACTTCCTCATTGAATAATGCTAATTATCATTACCATCAACAACAGCAAACAAACAGGTCAATGCCAAGCACACAACGATCTAATTCATTAAAAGTTTCGTCTATACGTATCGTAGATAACAACGAAGATCATCATTCAAATGAATCTTCCTTAACATTAGAAAAACGATCGACAAGTAGTTCGAATGACTTCAATAAACAATCCAAACGTTCTTACATTGTTCATTATAATAACAAAAAGCCACTTGGAGGCAGCACAGTGAGTCATACCAACGATGCCATTCGCCATTTAAAAAAATCGCATTCCAATGAATCAAACGATGAAAATTTTCACAGAGTATTAACGATTGTTCGACCACCATACGGACTGGGTGCGAGTGGCCCTTCAAATAAATCGAATAGTTCATCGGCAGATGAAGTTCGTACGTCACGTAATCCAAACATGCGTACATCCCTCGAATTCAATATGACATCGAATACAATCGTTGTTTGATATTCTCTTTTGAACAAAAAAATAATCCTTTTTATGTCTACATGTCAATGTGCTGATCATACGAAATTCATTTTATTTATCGGATTCATTATGAAGGATATACATTGTTTTGTACTTTTGACAAATACTTTGAATAAAGATTTCTATTCGATATATACATAAATACTGATTTCTTCAGTTAATCGTGAAACAATAGAGAAGTGCAGAGATTAAAGTTTCAATCGAGCAAGTATAGCTGCATAATACGATATTTTTATTTGCATGCAAATAGAATAAGAAAAAAAAGCATGTCTCCAAACGAATAACCATATTTTATGTATAAAAAGACACGAAAAACAAAGAAACGCAGATATTTTCTTACTGATTACCTTCATATAAAGAAAACTAGACTATAGTATAAGAAAAAAATTGAGATTCTCATATATCTTATTTTAAGTGCGAATGGTTGTAAGTTCATGAGTAAGTACGCCATTATCATCATCATCGATACATTTTACCTTGGAATACGATTCACCTGATTCATTCTTTGTTATCGGTAAGTTTCCATAACGTTTTACAATGGAGAAAAATCCTTCGTATAACCAAACACCGATGATCCCTCCAACAATGGGACCAACAATCGGAATCCAGAAGAAGTAATTATGTGCGCGGAAGACTTCATCCCAACCGTAGACGAACGCCGCAAATAAACGTGGGCCTAAGTCACGAGCCTAGAATGCGTCCAAACCAAAAATTCAGTATTCTTTTATCGATATCAATTTGTATGCATACCGGATTGATTGCAGCACCAGCGTTCGCAGCGAATGCCGAAGTAATTCCAACAATAATGAGAACAAATGCAAATGGTTTAGCAACTTCGGAAATCATGCGATTAGCATCCTAAACAAAATCAAGAAAGTCAGATTAGCAAAGAAAACCGATAACTTCTACGTTTATCAAAGCCATAACGAAAATCATTAGAACTGCTGTACCAATAACTTGATCAAAGAATGAATTCCATTCTGGCACACCACTGGTTGGCACAGTGAAAAATATATCAGCCGTGCCCCGGACACCCGAGACGTGTCGCTCGGCACCATCAAATTGATTAAATAGACTCCAGTACAGATAATAGACAACAAATGCACCAAGAAATGCTCCAATCATTTGACCGATGATATAAATTAGACATTGTACCGGTTTCAGTTTACGCACAGTCAACAGTGAAATACTCAGAGCAGGATTTAGATGTGCACCTGTAAATATTCAGACGAAAAATATGCAATATTTATCTTATTAACCGACAAGAATTCTCACCACTAATAGGTCCAGCAATCATGATTGCTAAAAGAAAATAATAAACAATTTATTTCCGAAGAAGTAGCTTTTTCTAATTACATTTCCTCGGTTTAATGAAATTCGAGTGTACTATTAATAGAAGAGAATTTCTTATCAGATTTAGCATGCTTTCAACACATTTAATCATGATAATATGTAAACAAAACTACTACGCAGAATATATGCTGACTTAGGACTTCTATTTTGTGCTAGTCACTTCAGGACTTGATTCAATTATCTATTAAGTCAGGAACCATTGCGTCGTTTATTCTGTTTTTAGACTGAGCAGAAAGAGAAAAAAAAACATTTTCTTCCATAGGCATTTGCAATTGGTGTCGCCCTACAATCTTTTACTACTATGTCCAGAAAAAAAGTGTGCAAACTTGGTACTTGTCTACTCCTGTCAATGAAAATTTCTACCTGTATAAACGCCAATGCCAAATGCAAGATTGATTGTGATCGTCGAATGGTTTCCTTGATGCGAGAGTTTATATTGAGCGATAGCTGATTCACCAATTAGAATCAACATGAATGTTCCAAAGCATTCTGCTAAACCTTGCGTAAGATATTTTTGTAATTCTCTCACTTTTGACATAATATCACCGTGTTTTGTTATACTATTCAGTAAACTTCTGCTGTTTGTAGAAAAAAAAAGAATCGAAGAGTACACCACCAAAGATGTATGTCAGACTATTTCCTTTTTTTTTATATATATTTTTCTTTTCTCTTTTTTTCCTTTTCCTTTAACTATCATGAGAGACAAGGTCGTTCGCCGCCCAAGTGTATTATCAAAGTCATAGTTAAGCATTTTCTTGATATATTTTCGTATATTATTCCAGTTCGTATTTTATTCACATATGTAAATATACGGTTGTCTACACAAAAGAAAAAAACAACAGACATTCACAAGCGAATACATCGTGTCTCATCACGAATCATTCCGAAAAACGGTTAGATTCCATCACACAACAAACAATGAATGTCAAGAGTGCCATGTTTTACATCGATGATATCGTGCCTATTAATGATCAAAGAATGTGCTACGAAAAACCGATAAGACAACTATCGATTACTTTCATAGGAGACTTGCGTGTGAACAGGATGTGTTTTCTTATGATGTTTTCCTTGGTCAGGTTGTTCTATAGCATCGATATGTGTAATACCGGGCAGGTTAGCATATTTCTTCATGAGAATTAAATAACCTTCGAATATATACACACCGATCAGTGCACCAATGATTGGGCCAACAATTGTGATCCAAAAATAGTAGTGATTTGCACGAAAAACCCCCGGACCATAGATGATCGATGCAAATAGACGTGGTCCAAAGTCACGTACCTAGATCAAAATAATGAGACTATGCTTCATAAAGACATGACAGTGTATTTACAGGATTGATCGGATTTCCGCAATTGAGGCCCATTGCAAAACCAAATGTTGTTACCATGAGAACAAAAGAAAATGGTTTTGCCGCGTTAGATATCAAATAATTATAATCATTGCCAAGTGCCATGATAAATATCATCAAGAGGCTAGCACCAATAATCGCATCAAGTAAACAATTCCAATTGGGTACACCTTCGGCTGGTACTGTATAGAAGATATCTGCTGTTGCATTTGGACCTTCGTGTTGTCGAATACCACCGTCGTAGAGATTAAATTGGCTTATATAAACGAGATAAACCATAGCACTGGCTAGGAAAGCACCCACTATTTGACCAAAAATATACATAACACATTGCAGCAGTTTCAGTTTACGAAGTGCCAGTAGTCCAAGACTAACTGCCGGATTGACATGAGCTCCTGGAAAAACATATTCATATTATGTCATTTCAGTTTCAAAATCGAACGGAACTAGGAATTAATCTTTCTTTGGTATTGAAAAGAGAATGCTTTGTGACGACAGGAGGTACGTTCAAACTATTAAATAGGTTTCAATGGTAATAACAAGTTACATATAAAAACTTCTTGAGTTTGTGTAAACCGACAACAAGATTCCCTCAAGGATGATAAAAAGAAGGATAACAGAAGAAAAGGACGTCTTTTGTTATGATTTATTACTGTGTGAACTAGGGTGAAATGTTTTCAGAGTAAAACACGCCGCAATAAAGCTCTCTCTCTCGACGTGGTGGAAACAGATAGAGTTGTCATATGATGTTGAGATTTATTGTATCGAGATAACAGCAAAGTTAAATTTGGTGAGCTGTGATGACTGAAAATATCAGTCGATGGTTCTCAAAATAGAACTTTAGATTTCTACTTGAAAATCATTAGGGAAGCTAGCTGTTAAAGGGAATCTATCTAACCTGAAATAGGACCAGCTACCATCAATGCGACATACACTCCAGTTGCATAAGATAGATTCACTCCAATGTTGTTGTTGGGCGTTGGTTTGGTGAACTTAAACTGAGCCACAGATAAGTTTCCAATAAAGATAAGAAGAAACGTGCCAAATAGTTCTGCCAGACATTGGGCTGCGAATTGCTTCAATTGTTTTGGGTGGAACATGGCTTTGTCGTATGATGACGAACTCTTGAGTATAGAAGATAAGAACAACAATCTATTATAATTCAACACGTTTTGATAATGCAATGCAAGATAACTGCATTAATATTTATATGCGACGTTTTCTGCAGTCATAAATCCAGCGTTTTCGTATCTCAAGAACGTAAATCATGATAAATTTTACGTTATTTCTTCATATCGAACAGACCTGAATCATGCGGAAAATATGTTTCAAATAGATATTATTTTTCATTTGCCTTGATTTCGAATAATATCTTCGTTAACAAATAATAGAAAATGAAATTCGATATCACTGTACCTAAGTGCACATTTCCATTTTACAGGCAAAAACAAAGTGATCTCTACTTCAGTTCGAATCGAGAACTATATCTGATTACTAAAACAATACGATAAAAACTCATTAATATAGTCTGAATCCAATCTATCCATACATTCCTGACCCGATGGACTATCTGGCGCTCGCTTTTGAGATAGTTGTCTTCTCGGTCCATGCTCGTGAAAATGATCATCAATATATGATTTGGCACATTGGGTGTGTCAGTATGTATCATAGAGGTACACGAAATACTTTGAATATCATATTAAATACCTGGATGTAAATTAATACAAAAGCAACTATTGATTTAGGTAGAAAGTGCACACCTGAATTGATAGAATAAAGCTGCCCTTCAACTATTCATGACATACAAAAGAGTTTGAATCATTAGCGAGCGATCGTTTTTACAAACATGACAATCATCTTTGTCTGAATGACAGTAAAACGCGCCAAATAAACTCGCTCCAAACTAGATATGGCATCATCAAGTCATCGTACATCACAAACTGAAATGTCTCACATGACACTGAACGTACACTATGAAGACGATGATAATGATGATGCGAAATCATTTACGCCTTCGATCATAAGTCGATCGTCGATAACGACATCACGATCTGGTTCGATAAGTACCGAAGTAGGTCAAGAGCAAATCGATCACATACGAGATGCTTTTGCAGTGTTCGACAAAGACATGACAGGTTCAATTACAACTGATCAATTCAAGTAAGACACTTCGAAAACGATGTAATCGTTTTACAGGATGATAAACAATCATTTTAGTAAAGTTCTTGATAGCTTTGGGTACAATATCCCTGAAACTGAGCTCGCCACGTTTGTGAATCAATTAGATATCGATAAATCAGGTGACGACGATTGACGTGTATGAATCAGTTCAGTGGACATAATTATATTTTGTTTATTCTCAGGAACAATCGAATTCGAAGAATATCTCAGTTTCATGATGACGTTTATTAAAAAGAACGTCACAACAGAAGAAAACCTTCGAGATGCATTTAATCTGTTTGATCAAGATAGAGACGGCTTTGTCAATGTTGATGATTTGCGAGAAATTATGACTAATCTAGGTGAAAAGATTACCGATGAAGATCTTGATGAAATGATACGTGAAGCAGACATCGGTATGACTAAGAAAGGAATACGAACTAACAAGAATCGATTTCTTCTAGATAAAGATTTCAAAGTTAATTTTCGTGAATTTCAACGAATTATGAGTTTTAAGTAAATATTACCCAAGCTTATCGAAAGCTCTCGTAGGATTATGAAGCAATTGAAAGGAAGACAGATCGTTCAATAAATAGTTCTTGCAAACGTTTCGTACATCAAAGACATAAATCTCTCATATACAATCTCCTCGTTGATAATCACACGAGATGTAATGAACATAATATCAGAAATTGATCTCTCCATTTAGATTTCTTTTTCCTTAGCAAGTCATATCGAACATCTTTATCTTATTTCACCATCTAAACAATCGATAACAGCAATAATTGAATATGATGTAAACAACAAAATATGACATCATCTCAATTGTTCGAGAAATATTGCATTTTATTACATACGACTATAGATGAACGTGAAAAATTGACTATTGTTCGACGCATAGCATGCAAATTTTGTTTGGTAATGTCGAATTCATATTGACTCTTTTCCTTCTCGTCAATTAAGTAGATTAAGGATTATTGACCCATATATGATTCTCGGTTCTATGAGAAGAAAAAAGAGACACAACTTTTTTTTTTGATCGTTGATCTTTCTTTTTTAATGATGATTGAACGGTTTTCGTCATCTGATGCCTTTTTCTTTCTTCATTTCATTAAGTACGGTCGATTGCTTTAAAGTTCTTTTTTTCTTTTCAAGGTTATCATCATTATAATTATTCATCTAGCGTTTCCGCTGAACAAAGACGTTTGCATACGTATATGTGTGTATGTGCAGAAGATTATAAATCTCTTCATTCCGTTCAAATGAGCAGCAGTAACAAGAGGACAAGTATAAAAAAAGTATAGTCACGTGCAGCAGGAGGTCAGAAACAATAGTCAAGCTTCAAAAAGAAGCAAAGAAGGGAAGAGAGAAAAAGCGACACAATATATGCCATGTCACATACATAGAGGAATATACGTATATTCGATCAAACAAGTTATAATCAACGCTAGTAATTAATTTCGAAAAATAGATTTTTATTTGATCGGGACAAAGAAATTGTGACAGGCACAGTTCATGGTCGATGTTCTCGATTGTTTACGGTGTAGAGTTTGTAATAAACAGTTTTGACAGACGATTGTTGACGGAGTTGGCAACGATGGTGGTTCACATGTGTAGTAATGCGGCATGAATTGATGATTAGTACTGTTAGATGTATATTGATGTTGTTGATAGTGTGCGAGAGTACACGAACAACAACAACAACAAGGATGACCGTCATAGGTTGGGCGAATTTCTTCGTAGATGTTCATCGAGTTTCTTTGCGAAGATGTTTCGTCCGAATGAAGATTTTGTTGACTATGAGCCATGTGAAGACTCAGATTGGAATTGTGTGTCATTGTTAATGAAGGATATCGATTATGAGCAATAGTTGTCGTTGTTGTTAGAGGAGTTAAACAACCGTAAGATGTTTGTGCGTTCTATAAAAAAAAAACACAAGTTCAATTAATCAATCAAAGTACATTTCTCTTTGTTGAAGATTTCTAATTAAATTTTTTTCAATTTATCCAAAGATTTTCTTCTTTATTCTCTCGATAAGTATCCATCTGTTTGGAATTCATTCTCTCATGATAAGATGAGCTTTTATGTAAACAGATTCTTCTATCCGTTTCTCTTTCTCTCGTTAAACATCCGCTTTGAATTCATTACGTTTATCCCACTTGGCAACAATTAACTCAGATTGCCTATTCTTATTGTCAATCTATATCTTTATCTTGTAATAATGATTATATAATTCTCTTACACTCGAGAATGATGCACAGCCGTCACCACCGCCACCAGCACTACTGCTACTATTGCTGCCGAGATTGCCATTTGGATTTGTTGTTTTGATAAAGGCCACATCACTATTATTTGCTTCGCGAATGCTGCTATTCACACTTGGGATACCCGCCGTTCGACGATGACGGCATCGAAGTTTCTGATGAAATCGAAATCTGTAAACAACAAAACAAATGATATCATATTTTGTGATCAAACAATAGGATCTATTTGTCTTACTTGACAACAAGTAAAAATAAAATCAGGCACGCTGAAGCGAGAGCAATTAATACTCCAAGAATGATTGAAAGGATAGTTAAATAAGATGAATCCGTCGTTCGTTGGCGAAGATTCGTTAAAGCCGGCGATGATGTTGGTGATAATTTACAAGTTGTAGTTAGAAATAATTCTGGAATGGTCGGAGGACGTGGTGGAGGAGCAAGAAGATAACATGCCGATTGCTTTCGACACATTTCATATTTTTGTAAATGATCGACATCATTGAATGAACTAATTTTCAAATCGGACAACGTTCGATTCATGGTTTCATACTGTTAAATCTATAATAAGACAAAAAATGGATAAAAGAAAGTATGCCTTGGATTCGATCCCTCTTCTTCTTCTTCTTTTCTTTCTATCACGTTTGTTCGTATGCGACACAGTTCAACAATTATTACTTCTCTCAAGAAAGAATATAGAGAATGCGAGAGACAAGAGAAAGAGCGAACGAGAGAGAGAGAGAATTAGGGAAGAAGTGGACTCTTTCGCTTGCTTACTCTTCTCTCGGTTTCTTTTTTTGATGTACATATGAGACGACCAAAAGTGTTGACAGACGCAATGCGTATGTATGCACGAGACAGCACAGCAAACACAGAGCGCTTTTCCTTAAATTAGTCTACTGCTAACCATCATACACTTTTAAATACATCACACAAAATGATTATTGCTTGCATAAATAATACCTTGATTGTCGTTCATACTCATGAGACGAGAATGTACAAATCTTCAACAATAAAAAAACATACTATGAATAAATCTCAAGGTGTTTGTTCTATCTTACAAAAGAAAAGATGAACGAATTTCTTACGGGAAGTAAGAAGAAGGTGTGAAGAAAATATAAAAAGAAGAATAAGCTTAGCATTATTGAACAATAGTTAAGACGAAAAGAACGAAGTAATTAAAGAATATAAAGGACATGTGGTTAGTTAGAACAATATTATTGGATTAAGAATGAAGAATTTTACTCCTGTACGTTCAGAAAGTTCAAAAGAAAGAAACAAGCTAGAAGCAATAAATATGATGTCATACGTCTACATTCTAACTCTTAGTACTTCACTATTGTCTATCATGGTTATTTGATGATCACACGATACACACGAAACGAACATGTTCAAAAGGTATCATAGTCCGTGACTACATCATTGTTTATATTGTACATACGTAAATGACACTAACTGAGTAGAGAGAGAGAGAAGACGAAGTTCAAAGCTTCTATTCGTTCTCTTTTTACCTCTATTCTGAGTAATGATATATCTACTCATTTTCTTCTCTTTAGCATGTCCTGTACATATATACATATGCATGTATATACACAAATATTTATTGCAATCAATCTCGATACATCACTATCATTATTATCATCATCTACTTCCTTCGTCCATTTTCGAATCATACTGATAATTAGAATTTCTCTTTCTCTCTACTTCNGTATATTCGATCAAACAAGTTATAATCAACGCTAGTAATTAATTTCGAAAAATAGATTTTTATTTGATCGGGACAAAGAAATTGTGACAGGCACAGTTCATGGTCGATGTTCTCGATTGTTTACGGTGTAGAGTTTGTAATAAACAGTTTTGGCAGACGATTGTTGACGGAGTTGGTAACGATGGTGGTTCACATGTGTAGTAATGCGGCATGAATTGATGATTAGTACTGTTAGATGTATATTGATGTTGTTGATAGTGTGCGAGAGTACACGAACAACAGCAACAACAAGGATGACCGTCATAGGTTGGACGAATTTCTTCGTAGACGTTCATCGAGTTTCTTTGCGAAGATGTTTCGTCCGAATGAAGATTTTGTTGACTATGAGCCATGTGAAGACTTAGATTGGAATTATGTGTCATTGTTAATGAAGGATATCGATTATGGGCAATAGTTGTCGTTGTTGTTAGAGGAGTTAAACAACCGTAAGATGTTTGTGCGTTCTATAAAAAGAAACAAATTGAATTAATCAATCAAAGTATATTTCTCTTTGTTGAGGATTTCTAATTTAATTTTTTTCAATTTATCCAAAGATTTTCTTCTTTATTCTCTCGATAAGTATCCATCTGTTTGGAATTCATTCTCTCATGATAAGATGAGCTTTAATGTAAACAGATTCTTCTATCCGTCTCTCTTTCTCTCGTTAAACATCCGCTTTGAATTCATTACGTTTATCCCACTTGGCAACAATTAACTTAGATTGCCTATTCTTATTGTCAATCTATATCTTTATCTTGTAATAATGATTATATAATTCTCTTACACTCGAGAATGATGCACAGCCGTCACCACGGCCACCAGCACTACTGCTGCCGAGATTGCCATTTGGATTTGTTGTTTTGATAAATGCCACATCACTATTATTTGCTTCGCGAATGCTGCTATTCACACTAGGGGTACCCGCCGTTCGACGATGACGACATCGAAGTTTCTGGTGAAATCGAAATCTGTAAACAACAAAACAAATGATATCATATTTTGTGATCAAACAATAGGATCTATTTGTCCTTACTTGACAACAAGTAAAAATAAAATCAGGCACGCTGAAGCAAGAGCAATTAATACTCCGAGAATGATGGAAAGGATAGTTAAATAAGATGAATCCGTCATCCGTTGGCGAAGATTCGTTAAAGCCGGTGATGATGTTGGTGATAATTTACAAGTTGTAGTTAGAAATAATTCTGGAATGGTCGGAGGACGTGGTGGAGGAGCAAGAAGATAACATGCCGATTGCCTTCGACACATTTCGTATTTTTGTAAATGATCAACATCATTGAATGAACTAATTTTCAAATCGGACAACGTTCGATTCATGGTTTCATACTGTTAAATCTATAATAAGAAAAAAAATGGATAAAAGAAAAGTATGCCTTGGATTCGATCCCTCTTCTTCTTCTTCTTCTTTTCTTTCTATCACGTTTGTTCGTATGCGACACAGTTCAACAATTATTACTTCTCTCAAGAAAGAATATAGAGAATGCGAGAGACAAGAGAAAGAGCGAACGAGAGAGAGAGAGAGAATTAAGGAAGAAGTGGACTCTTTCGCTTGCTTACTCTTCTCTCGTTTTTTTTTTGATGTACATGTGAGACGACCAAAAGTGTTGACAGACGTAATGCGTATGTATGCACGAGACAGCACAGCAAATACAGAGCGCTTTTCCTTAAATTAGTCTACTGCTAACCATCATACACTTTTAAATACATCACACAAAATGATTATTGCTTGCATAAATAATGCCTTGATTGTCGCTCATACTCATGAGACGAGAATGTACAAATCTTCGACAATAAAAAAACATACTATGAATAAATCTCAAGGTGTTTGTTCTATTTTACACAAAAGAAAAGATGGACGCATTTCTTACGGGAAGTAAGAAGAAGGTGTGAAGAGAATATAAAAAGGAGAATAAGCTTAGCATTATTAAACAATAGTTAAGACAAAAAGAACGAAATGATTAAAGAATATAAAGAACATGTGGTTAGTTAGAATAATATTATTGGATTAAGAATAAAGAATGTTACCCTTGTACGTTCAGGAAATTCAAAAGAAAGAAACAAGCCAAAGGTAATAAAAATGATGTCATACGTCTACATTCTAACTCTTAGTACTTCACTATTGTCTATCATGGTTATTTGATGATCACACGATACACACGAAACGAACATGTTCAAAGGGTATCATAGTCCGTGACTACATCATTGTTTATATTGTACATACGTAAATGACACTAACTGAGTAGAGAGAGAGAGAGAAGACGAAGTTCAAAGCTTCTATTCGTTCTCTTTTTACCTCTACTCTGAGTAATGATATATCTACTCATTTTCTTCTCTTTAGCATGTCCTGTACATATATACATATGCATGTATATACACAAATATTTATTGCAATCAATCTCGATACATCACTATCATTATTATCATCATCTACTTCCTTCGTCCATTTTCGAATCATACTGATAATTAGAATTTCTCTTTCTCTCTACTTCNTGGTTTTTTATCGTATGTACTCATATGTTGATGACCACAAATGATAAGCGTCGTCTGTCTGTACTTGACACCTATTTGAATGTCCCATACATACGTACATATGTATGTACAAAAACGAACCAAGAAGAAATGTATGAATATTGAAGAGAAAGAGAGAGAGAAGACAAGATCATCTCAGTAAACTAATTAGACTAACCAAGGTGTTGGATAGACTCCTTTTGCTATACTTATTCTCGTAATACAAACAATTGAGACGGGTCAATACTAATGAGAATGCCAATCAATTAGTGCTCATGGGTTCAGACAGTTTTATGCTTGTTAAAAAAGAACCACCAATTACCTATTTTCTATGACAAAAGATAAACTTGCTCCTACTCGTTTTTTTTGTCTTTGATTCTTATCTGGTCATTTTGTCTTTGATCGCGACACATATGAAAAAAGATGCGATCTGGTTTTTGATTTTCTTCGTGGTCAACGTCTATTCATTTTAGCCTGAGGTTATAGATAGATGCATTGTATTGTTCGAAACTATTATCCTGAAAAAAAAACCGAGGATGGACCAACTTACTTTTTTCAACAACATTTGATGTGAATGAGACAAGTGCATTGTTGCACGCAATCGACTGATTCTTCTTTTTCTTTTTCATCACTAAGAAATGTGGACAGTGAGAAGAGGAAAAGGAGCGAAGTTGTCATATTTTTTCTTTGTTTGATTACGTATGGGAGAGAGAGGGTTTATTAGGTAACCAATATGTGCACGCGCGCATCGTCTTGATTAACGATGGGGGTCAGTAGTACCCTATTGTCCAGTGAATGCCTCAAGAGACAGTTGGCACCAATACTGTTCACATCCTTTCTCTCATGCAGAGAATATGGATGATTTCCGTCGCAGTTCTAATCAGCAACGAAGGAGACATATAAAGAGGAAGTATGGCGTTAGAAACAGAGAAAAGAAGGCAAATCTAGAGATTTATCAATATCATTGCTGCTCTTTGTTGACCGTATGTTTAGACAGTCGAATAGGTCAAGAAAGAAAATGAAAGATTGAAATGTCTGACTTTTCGAACACCTGCAGATAGAAAAAACTTTTCTTTGTCGTCGCAGCATCCTTCCTCTGAGAGCTGATTTTGTCTGGTCATGTGTCGTTCACACACACACACTCTGCTGTTTTCTTTTTTCAAAAGAAATCGAACAAAGATCATGACATTTTTGCTATACATTTAGCTAACCATAATTGTAATTATTGTTACATTTGAAACTGATCTGACATGTCCTTTTTTTCTCTCTC